AGTCATGCACCGGAATAAGCAGCCATTCTCCTCTAAGTCGTAACCTAACTGCTTGAGGGCGACAATCAGCTGAGCACTCGCCTCCAGGAAGGACAAACGGACGGAACTCTCAGGGGCGCTGAGCGGAATCCGTGCTGACGGCTCTTGTCGCACGGTCTTCGACCAACCAGGAAGAGCCACCCCCTCGCCCCTCTCAACCTGCCTGTGCAGCAGCTCTCTGCATTCCTTGCCGCGCGCGCGGGACTCCCAAAGATACAAGAACGCTGCGCGATCCATTAAGAGATTGCACTGTTCGAGCCCAGAGCTGCGTGCCACACCCTCGCTAAGAAACGCCAGCAAACGGTCTAGCTTCTGTTCAGAGAACACCTTCGCTCGTTTCTCTCTTACCCCCGCATCGTGCAGCAAGACAGTGTAACCGTCCCGATACGACTTAACGAGTTCTGATCGGCCGGGATTGGCTGCCCCATCGAAGCCCATCAGAGTGTAACTACGCGAGATGTGACTGATGGCGTTCTTGACGGCGCTCGCTGAGAGAACGTGCTCCCCGCTGTTTGGGATCACAGTACGACTCTCCCCCTTATGTTTGGGGATGTACTCCGAGTGAATGAACGTCGCAATATCAGCAGGACTGGCGGTTTCGACGGAGACCCCGTAAGCATTCTTGGTCAGAAAGTTGCTCAACTCGTCGAACACCCGTTTTCTACCTGAGACGTTTTCTGCGGTAGTGGCTCGATCCGCTATCGCCACGATTTCGGACAGAGAACGCTCATAATGGACCAAGGTCTCAGTCTCGGACCACCTCGCCTGATTTGACGGTGCAGAACCGGATAAAAGCCCGCGAGCTTCCAGGATGTGATTGTGGCAGACGGTTTGGAAAGCAGCCCTGCAGAAACACAAAAACGGATGAGTTATTTGTCAATAAAGTTTGTCTTGGTGACAATTGTATTTTTGGGCGAGAAGTGCGGCCTCAGGGGAGCGAATCCTGACCGTCTTTGCCCCAAACCATCCATCCATCTAACGTTGGACATTTCACAGAACCGTGTGCCTGCCAGACCATTCCTTCGGGAATAGCCTAAGGAATGCGGGCCTGCCACACGATCTGAGGGCGACCGTCTGCTCTTGTCGAAGTTTAAAGGCACCAAATTGCCCTGCAGACTAAACCCCTAACCCCGGCCGACTGCCGCGGCCGCCTAAACCTCGCTGCCGGGATTTAGCGCGTTCGAATTCAAAGCAAACTTGCTGACGAGGCCTCGCCGCGTCTGAACTGCTGAGCAGAATCAGCTTGAAGTGCTGAACAAACCCCGAGTGTGATTCTTTCAAGTCTTCATTCCCAAATTACCTAAGCGCCAGCAGCGGCGCGTCTTGGCGCTGCTGATCAGGCGCCATTTCTTTCTTCCCGCCCACCTCCCTTGTCACACTCCAAGAAA